GCAATTAGACAAGAGAAAGAAATAAAAGGAATAAAGATAGGAAATGAAGAAGTCAAACTGTCATTAGTTGCAGATGACATGATACTCTATATAGAAGACCCCAAGAACTTCACCAAAAGTCTTCTAGACTTAATAACCAAATTCAGTACAGTAGCTAGATATAAGGTCAACACATAAAAATCAATAGTTTTCCTCTACACAAACAACGGACTCACTGAGAGAGAAATAGGGCAAACAATTCCTTTCACAATGGCATCCAAAACACTGAAATTCCTAGGAATCCACCTAACAAAAGAAATCAAACACCTCTTCTCTGAAAATGATAGCACTCTGAAAAGAGAGATTGAAGATGATATCAGAAAATGGAAAGATGTCCCTTGCTCCTGGGTAGGAAGAAACAACATAGTGAAAATGGCCATACTTCCAAAACTGCTATATAGATTCAATGTAACCTCAATTGAAATTCCAGCAGCATACTTCATGGACCTTAAGAAAACAATCCAAAAATTATTTGTAACAAGCAGAGACCCAGAATAGCAAAAGAAATTCTAGATAACAGAGCCATGGCAGGGGATATCACAACCCCCAACTTGAAACTATACTACAAAGGTACTGTGATAAAAACAGCATGGTACTGGCAAAGAAACAGACATGAGGATCACTGGAACAGATTAGAAGATGCAGAAACAACTTCAGACACACTCAGCCACCTCATCTTTGACAAAGGAACCAACCAACCTCACTGGAGGTAAGATAGCCTCTTTATAAATGGTGCTGGAAAAATTGGGTTTTAAGTTGCCAAAGACCACAGAGACTTATATCTCTCACCATGCACTAAACTAAAATCAAAATGGATTAAAGATATAAATATAAAAACAGAAATACTGAACCGACTGGAACAGAGATTAGGTAGAACTCTTGGAGAGTTCCCACAATGTGGGAAAAAATTTTCACCTGCTGTTCCTCAGACAAAGGTCTGCTGTCTAGAATACATAAAGAACTTAAAAAAAACAGACCTCCCAAATTTAAAGGCCCAATCAGAAAGTGGGAATCTGAAATGAACAGATATTTCTCAGACAAAGAAGTAGAAACAGCACATAAACATATGAAGAAATGTTCAATGTCAATGGTCATTCGAGAGATGCAAATGAAAACAATGCTGAGATTCCACCTCACTCCAGAAAGAATGGCTGCTATCATGAAATCAACCAATAACAAATGCTGGTGGGGTTGTGGGGAAAGAGGAACACTGCCCCATTGCTGGTGGGAGTGTAGACTGTTGTAACCACTGTGGAAATTAGTATGGAGATACCTCAAAGAACTAGGGCTGGAAGTCTCATTTGACCAAGCTATTCCCTTGCTGGGTATCCTCCCCAAAGAATTAAAAGAATCATACCACAGTGATATATGTGTGCCCATGTTCATAGCAGCACAGTTTGTAACAGCTACAACTTGGAAGCAGCCCAACTGCCCATCAACTGGAGACTGGATATAGAAGATGTGGGGTTTTTTTTACAAAATGGAGTACTACTCAGCCATAAAAATGGAGAAACTAGACATTTATAGCTAAATGGATCCACATTGCTTTGATACTCTTAAGTGACATAAATAGGACACACATGTGTAAATACCTAATAGTTTCTCTGTGTGAGAAACTGAAAATGTAAATGAGGACTAAAAGGATAATAGATAATGTGAAAAAGGAAGAAAAGGGGCAAAGAGGAGGGGAAGTGGGAGGGATAGTGGAAAGGAAAAAAGGGAATGGGATTAATATGAGAAAATGGAAAAATGGAAGCAAAGTCTTTGTAAATAGGGAGGGATGGAAGGGTTGAAGGGAGGGCAGGGGAATGGGGAAAAAAGAACCAAGAGAGATTATGTAAAGATGCACATTTCCAATGAAGAATGTCATTATATTGTATACTTAAAATGTACCAATAAAATTAATTAAAAAAATAAAAAAAGAATACCATTTCCTAACATAAATTAATCTTTCTGATACATCAAATATACTTTTGAGGCTGGAGTCATAGCACAATGGCAGAGCATTGGCCCAGCGTGCAAGAAGCCTTTTGGGTTCAATCCCCAGCACACACATACACAAATCACAGTTTTATAAAAATGACATTAGTTTTACACAAGTCTATATTATAAAGGGCACTCACCCAAGAAAGTATCCTATAAGATTATGAATGATAAAAATCCTACACCACAAGAAAGTAATAATATAGAAAAAGAACTTGAATATAAGCAAAAGTCACGTGAAGTTAAAACTTGGTTTAAACAAGAAGCATAAAAAGTTATAGCTTACAAGTCTTTTCTGAGAGAAAGCACAGGACACTGACATGTCTTCTATGAATATAATTTCTATTTATCCTCATTCTTTAGTGGGTACTATTACTATTTGGATAAAGAATTTTCCCAACAAGTAACAGTCCTGGAAGGTGATCAGATCATGGGAACACTAACTACATCAATGGATTAATCCTCTGATGAGTTCATACCTGATGGATTTGCTGTTAGGAGACGAGTCCTGGGCAAGGCAGTAAGTCACTAAGACTATAAGCTGGAATGTTATATCCGATCCCCAGCTGCTTCCTCTCTCTGTACTTACTGGCTGCCATGACATGAGAAGCTTTCCTCTGCCCTACTCCTCCATGAGGATGTTTCTTCCTTGGACCCAGCCAAACATGGACAGAAATGTTTTGAAGCCACGAGCCCTCCAAACAACCTTCCTCTTTTAAGTTGTGTACATCATGTTATTTTTTCCCAGCAGCAACAAGCTGACTAATTAAGAAACCTATTATTTTGTTTTGTTTTTCTTCTTTTTTATGGTGTTTCTTCCAAACAGTTTTGACTTTCTTGAACCTTCTTTTCAAAAGAAAATAATTGAGTTATACCTTTTACAAAGTATTTAGTGTTTTCTCCAAAATTATTTTAAGAGAAAAATGTTTCAAATAAGATTGATGTGGTATTTGGGCTGGGGATTTTGCTCAGTGGTGCCGCACCTGCCTTGTAAGCACAAGGTCCTGAGTTCAATCCCTGTTACCAGGAAACAAAAATTGGTACCAAAGATTGAAGTGGTATATAACATGCTTGCCATAGTATCAGTGCTACTCATGTTCATATGTTTTGGTAAATTTCTGAATTGTGATCTAAAAATACAATTTCAATGTCATCAGCAGCAAAAAATAACATGGTTGTAACATAGTTAAGGAATAAATGCTATCCTTTCAAACTGATAGAATATGGCTGGACTTCTCTAATAATTTTTCCACTGTTCTGAAAGTGATACATCATATTATCTTTTTTCTTACATATTTTCAATCTGTGCTTTAATGAATTTGATATGAAAGGACACCCTATGCACTGATCTATGATCCTGCAAACTGCTATGTGGAAGCTCCAATCCCCAATATTGCTACGTTTGGAGAGAAAGCTCTTTAGAGGTAATTAAAGTCAAATGTGTTTTTTTTTAACAGTGGGACACTACTTCACTAGTTTTGATAGCCTTAAAAAAAGAGAAGTCAAATTCCATTCTCCAGATGCATACACCAAGCAGAGGCCATTTAGCACATAGTGAAAAGGAAGCCATCCAGCCTCCAGAACTGTGGGGAAAACAAATTTCTGTTATTTAAGTCATCCAGTCTATGGTTATTTTGTCAAGGCCGCCTGACCACATTCATATAGACTTTTGTACCAAGAGGTAGAGCTGCTGTTGAAACAAATACCTAAATATATGGAAGTCACTTTGGAACTGAGTAAGGGGTTAGAGGCTGGAAGAGCTTTGAGGTGCCTTTCAGAATGTCCTGTGAAGGATGATTCTGGTGAGATCTCAGACAGAAATAAAGAACATAATACAGGAAATCTGTTATTTGAGAAAAGGCGAGCCTTATTATAAAGTGATGGTATGGTTTGTGTAAGTAGCCCCAAAGACCCGTATGTATGAGTTTGAATCCCAACCTTTGGTGATGCTGGGAGATAGAGAAACCATTAAAAGACAGGGGACAGTTGAAGTCTTTCAGTCATATGGGAGCATGCCCTTGAAGGAGAAATTGACAATTAGGCCCTTTCTCTTGCCAATTTTGTTCCAAAACAAACTCCTACCTTGGTACCAACTCACCACAGGCTCAAAATCAATGGGCCAAATTGTCTATGGGCTGAGACATTCAAAACTGTGAGCCAAAATAAGCACTTTTTCTTTTTAAGCTGATTATCTCAAGTATTTATTATAGTAATGGAAAGCTATCTAACATGAGTAGCAAGAAAATAGCTCAACTATGTTCATGTTTTAGTGTTTTAAGGAAGGTAGAACTGATAGCCAATAAAATAGAATATTTAGCTGAGAAAAGTTCTAAGCAATGTTTTAAAAGAATAGCTTGATGCTTCCTGATTGCTTATAGCAGAAGACAGATAATAAAGACAAAGAATTAAGATCAGTTAAGCAAAACTGGGTAAGAATAAGGAGACTGAGAAAATTCTCAACCTATTCATGTAAACTATGAGAAAGCTTATTCTAAAAAGAACATAGAGGACATGGCTGACCAACTATTTCATAAAGACATCAAGACTGTGATTTAGCCATATCAGCAGGAGCCAGAACAGATAAGATTATATCTGCAAAGATACTACCAATATAGCACACAGAGAGCAGAGAAGGTAGGATGGCATGATGGGAGGCTGTTGGGCTTGGATTTTACAGGCAATGGGTACTATTCTTCAAGGAAAGGGAAAAATGACCCCAAAGGTGATGGCGTCACTTAGACTGAAGTGTCACCCCTCTGTGTCTGCCGTGAGATATGAAGCCTGACTCACTCTCCACTAGTAGAGTTTTTTTCAAGTCAGATTTTTCAGTTGGACAATCCATCAAAGTTACGGAGACTGAGCAGATTTTTCTTGACTTGGTAGTTCAAGTAGTGGAAAGTTTGAGCCTGAAGGTGTTTGACAACTGAGGTATTACTGTATAAGCTTTAGTAACTATATTCCCATAATATGAATATGCATAAGCATATATGGGATTTTGTTTGTTTGTTTTTTACCTAAACACAATGAACTTGGTTCTCCTTTACACTGACCTCTGGGTCCCGATCAACCCATAAGGGAATCAACCAAGCCAATCCTTGTTGATCAGGAGCATGTTCTTCGCTATGATTACCTAAAGGCAAGAACCAAAGAGACATCCACTCCTAGAATGAAAAACAAGGAGAACAGAAACACCTTAGGTTAAAATAAGTTTTAAACATAAAAACAAAGTGCATATGTATTAAAGACTTGGTTTTATTATCTGGCCAAAACAATGCAAATAAAAATCTAGCTTCTCCTAAGTTAAACATAACAATTTTTCTATAAAAGCTATTTTTCTCATAATTTAGCCAAAACGTAATTTTGAAGTGAAAGCTTATTTCAATCAAAATAAATTTCAAAAAATGTTCAGATTTGTATTAATACAGAATTTCCAAGAAACATTTTAGTCAAGAAACATTTTTGTCTCCTAAAAAGAAAAGTCAAAAGGAACATTTTTATGTATTGAGCTTATAGGCTTGAAATGTGTTAAGCACAGCATATTCCTTTTCATTTAACTGTTCAAGAGACAGTTTTCAATGTCCTTACCGAGCTCTGAGCCTGGGCCATCATCTCATGGGATAAGTGAAGCAAGCAAAGAATTGTGCTCTTTGTGACACCTTTTCCCATGAATGACATAGCATTTCCTCCACGCTCCACGTAAAAAGAAGTAATGACCTGGAAAATAAATACAGTTTCATAGCAGCTTTATTCTAATGGTATATAAACACATAACTTTCTATCTTGTCAAACTCAAATCTTAACTTCATAAAATTATAATATTCTCAGTTTATACACTTAAAAGTGACAACAATGATGAGTTTTTGTTATATGTATTTTACCAGTTAAAAAATATTCTTGGTTTTAATATTTTTCCCCTTGGGATTTATAAAAAAGAAATGTAATATATGCCTAGGTTTTTTGTTGAGATTCAGAATAACCTTATTTAACATTTTAAAAATGTTATAGCACTTTTTTAAGTCAAAGAATGTATAAATATCCTGGTGAAAAGTATGCACAGACATTGCTGGCTCTATAAAACTCACTGACTACTTCGGCTATGCTAAATTTTCTTGAAATATAGTTTAAATATAAATAGACATTTTTCTCACTTCTGAGTGATCTTCTACTGCAAACTTAAAATATATGCTCATTATTTAATTCACTAGTTTTCAACTTTTTTCTCCCACATATCTGAGAGATTTGGCATATTTCTATTAGCAACAACAAAAGAAATGTTTCTCACCTGAAGGACATTCATTTAACTAAGAAGTTATACCAAAAAGTATTTCCATCTGATTTCCTATGGAATATATGACAAACTTTTCTGGACTATTTCTATATAAATTACATATTATTCCTCAAAGAGGGGTTTGGTGAAAATATGCAAACTATTTGAGGAAAAACTCACATTTTGTCAACACACAAAGAAATCAATGAGACAAAAGTTCATTTGTAATTAATAAAAGATTAAGAAAAACAACAGTAACTATTTTTAGGTCCCAATACTTTGTTATAAGTCAAAACAGTCAAAACTTCCTGTTATCTGCACTAATATAATTTATTCATCCAAAATCTCAATGCTTTTTTACTCACTACAAAATACTTCTATGTTACTTTATCTTAATGTATTTTTTTAGTTCATTTTTGTTTTGTTTTTCTAATTCATGAAGCAAAACAGATATTTTAAAAAGATTAATACAAAATTTATTTCTAATATTTGAAACATAGTTGTGATCCAGTCTCTATCATACCTATTATTTTAAAAATAGGTACCTAAATAATAGGTATTCTCATAGTTTCCAAATATAAACAATACAACATTTAGCTTCTCTTTTAATTACTGCTGTACATCTCATCTAAAAATAAAGGTCATTTTTCAGAAGATATGTATTCCATAAAAGGTTTACAAATGGAGTATTTATAAATCACATTTCAACCAATTCTTCTACAAATAAGGTAACTGCAGGTTGAATTGTATTTTAAATGCACTAGAAGATCTAACTTTAAAAACATTATAGTTAAGGACCAGGAATTTAGCTCAGTGGTTCCGGCACCTGCCTCACAAGTGCAAGGTCCCAAGTTCGATCCCTGATACCAAAAAACATAAAACAAAAAAAAATTACAGTTAAGTCTTTAATATATCGGTTCAAAAACATTTATTTAAAATTGTGAACTCCTTGCAGCCTGGCATAATTAATTAGTAGGCTGACAATATTTCCTTTTGCAATATTTATAATTATTTAAGAAAATATAAAGTATTGAAGAAACTACTGTAAAAGTCATATTAAATTTTATAGCACTACTAATTGTATTTAGAACTTTGAAGCCTTTAAAAAATAGAATGCTTTTGGAAAAAATGTAGATTACACTGAAATATAATTTATTATTGAAAATACAAATACAAATTCAATAATGAAAGCACAAAATAAAATACACATCATTTAAATTCATTTATGTCACATTACCAATGTTATACAAATTGTATTCTAATTTTAAAATTACATGTAAGATACACATTAATTAAATGATTTACTATTTACCACAATGTAAAAATCATTACTAAACAGATAACATAGCCATGGAATGATGCAAAAGTTTTAAAGATGATGATCATAAGCTCTCAATCTTGTGTGTCTAACAGAGCACATATAAAATAAATAAATATACAGTATATTTTTACAAAGGTAAGAGAACAGTAACAAGGACAAATTTTCACATATATCTAACATAAAGAAGAGACCAGTTAAATGGTATTATCTACGTTTAGAAAAGAAAAGGCTTACTAAAGGAAAGTGAGTAAATTAGATCTTATACAGTACTCTGTATAGAGATTAACACCCATAAAAAAGAGGAAACTGTGTAAAGAAATAGTCTTTTTTTTAAAAAAGCCTTTGAAAGAGCTGTTAGATACAACCAAAAATTCAGAGACATAGGAAAAAATAAAAGTGGAGATAAGACTCAAAATGCAAGATTAACAGTCTCTTGCACCTAGGAAAGAGGTTTACAGGGCTTTGAAATAGAAACTTATAGCACAAAAAGGAGTAGAAAGCTATAGATACAATTTGGCCAACAAATTTTAGGTCTAGAATGCCCGTGACAGTCCATCAATTTTTTCATTTTTCAAAATATAACTGAACACTGTCTCCTGTTGAGTCTTTCCTAAAATCCTAATCCATTTACTGATTTTAATCTTTGTGTTTTTGTTTGTTTGGTTTTTTTTGTTTTTTGTACTGGGAATCAAACTCGGGTCCTTGCGCTTGCGAGGCAGGCGGCGGAACCACTAAATCCCCGGCCCAATTCTAATCTTTGGATATCAAGTTATTGATGCTTAAAAGCTATCAGAGCTCTCTAGGCAAATTAGGCTGGCAGATTTGACCTCTGAGGGACAGTAAGCTATTTCTAGTTTTAGACAGTTTATGTAACAGCAAAATAAGAGTAGCCAAAGGTACTGCTCCTAGTGTCCCCTGCACAAAGTGATACTGGCACAAAGGGGCCAGATGACTGCAAGGCAGATGGTAGGGCACTCTGTTGCTGAGAAGCCAATGCTGTGTTGTAATGAATCAGTTTTACAACTGCAGCTGTACCACAAGCAAGTGAGGCAGACAGAATACTTACTTCATATGACCAAGAGGCATAAGAAACAAGATCATGCCAGACTTCTAATAGTCAAATGAATGAGAATCAAACTACTCTTGGAAATTCTGCAAAAGCTTCCCATGTTCTTATGTTCCAGAAGGATCACAGGAAATTCTATCAACACTGCAAATCAGCTGCAGTTTATTAAGCCTTGCCTTTTTGGCCCAGTGTGTGCATGCAAGATTACCAGTGCAACGTGGAAAAGCTGTTCTCCTACAGAGCTATATACAGTCATGCCATTGTTATATTTATTACATCACACTGAAAATATTTTTAATTAAATGATGATGACAGCATCTCAGAATGTGTGCAATTAAGGCTATGTTTATAAGGTAATTGGGGCTGAAAGTACATTTTAGAAAAACTAAAAAAAAAAAAATCCAATTAAGACCAGACCTAGGAAGTGCCCTTAAGATTTCAACAGGAGGGGCCTCCATTCCACGCTCCTAGGGCAGAGAAGCTGAGCCAGTCCCAGCACATGGAAGGAAGCTCCCCTGCTGCCATCCCAGGCTCCTTGGGCAGAGAAGCTCAGCCGGTCCCAGCACCCAGAAGGAAGCTCCCCCGCTGCCATTCCACGCTCCTAGGGCAGAGAATGTGAGCTGTGTGGGCTCTAGAAGCACCCCACCCCCACCCCGTGGAAATGAGAAGACACTTAAACAAGCCTCAGACTTCCAGATCACCTACATCAACCCCAAAGGGAAATGAGATGGAACAATCTGATATCCAACCACCTGGACTCTCTGAACTGGCAACAAAAGAGGATCTGGAAAAAATGAAATCAGAAATAATTACTCAGATAACAGCAAAGATTGTGCTCATAGT